TTCGTACCGGTACCTGACTCCGTTTGTCCTTTGCTCGGCATACAGTAATTTTTACAGGTTGACTTGTAGTAACTCAAACTCGTACGGTAGCTTACTCATAAAAAGTCGTATGAAATAGATTTCTGCTTATTAAACCACGATTTCCACGAGCTTTTAGCTGTGGCACTCTTGCGACAATTGGACGAAAAAAAATGTTTTGTGCGGATATTGGCCGAAGATGGCACTTGCAGCAATAAAAGAAATTGAATTGAATTGTCGGCGAAATCATACCAAATCAGGTCTCCGGAAATTGCGATTGTCTTTGTGTAACTAATGGAGCAGAATATAATTGAACTTTTTGTTACCGTACCTCCTTCATCTGGTTGTTTATTTATACAGGCCTGGCAAAAACCCGACAAAGTAATTTTTGATTAGTTGTATTATTGTAACTTTTTTAGTAGTGTACATTAATAAATCAGAATTCTTATAAAAACAAGGTTGTTATTGCAGTTCGATCATTGTCGTTTTTAATGTGTTATGTAACCGGAAATTATATTATCAACAATTAATGGAACGCAGGTGGGGTTGGGCCTATAGCATATCACATCTTCTTACATCTGCTTTGAAAATAAAGTTTAAAAAACTTAAAGGAACAAAATTATAAGTCGTCAATGTATACATAGAGGAATGATTAACCATTGTTGATTTTGATGGGCTAAGCCAGAAACACAAAATCTTTTCTGTAGTGACATCGAGTACATGGTTCCAAACAGCTAGGTACGCCAATATCAGTAATTATTACTTCACTGCATCTTCATCATTCAATTAAACCTAAATGAGATGGTATTGCCCAGCGACTGGAAATCCTCAATGACCATACATAATCGGTTAAATTTCCATTATGATCTAATTTGCATGTCTCGCATTGTTTCTATACGTCTATTATGATACCAGGCCAACCGTCACCGTATAATATCTAAATACAGAGACAATTGACAAGCAGACATTAACAACCAAACTGATGATTGAAACGACATTGACGAGCACACAATGGCAATCACACAGCTGACAACTAGGAATGATAACGAAAACAATGATTAATTAAATTCGAAGATATTGTATCACTACCTCTACGTAAACATCACATTCTTAAAAGCACATGTCTGTACAGGCCTTTACCGTATTTATTAGAATAAACGCCCCCGGGGCGTTTATTGTTGAGAAGGGATTTTGAGGGGCGTTGATTCGAGGGAGGTGTTTAATTAATTTTAATTTTTTGTGTAAAATGGATACCTATTATACTCAAACAAACGCCCCTTAATTTCACTGTAAATGTGGAACACATAATTACCGTACAACAGGGGCGGATCCAGCCCGGCAAGAAAGAGGGGGCGTGAATGTGCGAACTGAGTGAGATTCTTAGGGAAAAGTCCCGACTGGGATGCAAGGTCAACTCCCACTTAAACCTCTAGTACCTTCATTAATTTTAGTTTGTATTTGATTGATTTTTACTACTTACCATGACAGAACAATAATAGAATTATGTGTTGATGTTGCTTCCATTTGATTTGCTTGCCGTCTTTCAGGGGGCGTGTATTCGAGGAAGGCGTTTATTACAAATTAGGCTCTAGAGGGGGAGTTTATTGGACGGGGCGTTATTCAAAGCGGGATGTTTATTCGAATAAATACGGTATTTTTTTAGTCATATGACACAAATTTACCGTACCGCTTCATATGATATTATTGGCATTATTTCGGTACTGTATTGGGCAAAATATTAAATTCCAATTACAAGATATTTTTTCGCTTGCATATCAATTGATTGTTGTGTAGTTTGTGAAAGTGTTTATAGGTGATGATGTAAAATCAGCACTTAATTACTAGCATGTTGTGTCTCCAACGAATTTTAAAAGCGAAACATAGAAATTCAGTCGATTATGAGTCAAAAATTCGGAATAAAATATAATGTTTTTTTTGTTTTTTTTTTGTTGATTCAACTACGAATTTTGTTTAGCGGTTTGTTAGAAAAATGGCTTTGGTAAAATTTGCCCTGGTAAAAATGGCTGGAGAGGATGACGAAAATAGATGATGGTGATAATGATGATGCTGATGATAATGATGTTATCGATGATGATGATAATGATGATTATGACGATGATGGCAATAATGAGGTTTAAGTTTACGGTATAGTACAATTACTGTTTTTAAACATCGATTTATAGTAGGCCCACTTGCTAGATATTACGTGATGAAATCGTGAACATATTAAGTAAAAAACATGGAATATAATAATAGGTTCGGAAATGGTTAAAAATACACCAGAAACACTCTTGTAGGCCTAATACTGAAAATGAATGCTCAAGTTTGATGACCTATATAATACTAGTCGTCATAGGAAATGAAATAATGTATCTCAATCATCACATTCTCATTTCAACTAAACGATAGAATGTATCGTGCTAGCTATTCTACAACTTCAGCATACTTATTTTATTTTACTTAACTTTATCTTATTACGCGAGACAGGCTTCGTATGCGGGAAAGCACACAAAACGCACACTTAGACCTATTTCCTAAACACATTTAAACTTTTGCTTACATTGCTGAACTGCAAAATGGAGCATGGAAAAGACATTTATTGATAACATTAGCAACGAATTTCTGTTTGTAATATTATTTTTAATAATTCATATCGTCAATAATTTCCAAAATCATGCAAATATGTTTATTGTATCAATCATGATGTTTATGATAGCGTGGTAGTTTGACATTTTCAAATGATTTTAACATTTATAATTCGCACAGTAAACCATTTTGAAAGTGTTGTGATTTTTTAATAGTAATAATATATCTTAATTTTATTGACTCTGTATATGTTTCATTTTTTTCTCCTAATGGAGGTTAATAAACAAATGATTGACTGATTAGCTGGGGCTAAGTTTTACCAGCTCTCTCACAAGTATCGTACTTCTGTAGGCCTACAAGTCTTGTGCTCTCGCACATGTATCAGGCTATGTATCACACAATTATCGAACTTTTGAAAAAGTGGTACTCTATTATTCTCGTAAAAGTACCGTGTTCTCGCACAATTGATGTCGGGCTTCCACACGAGTGTCGTATCGGCTCCACAAGTATTGTCCTCCCGTTAATCGTGCTCTCTGACGATTATTGGTCTCTAGTATACTGCTCTCGTAGTAGTACGTGCTCTCGCTCATGTATCGTCTTCGTGTGGGTATGGGTGTGCTCTCGCACATATCAGATACACAATCGTGCTCTCGTACATTTAGTGTTCTCTTGTAAAAGTATTGAGCTCTCGCTTAAGTTCTCTCGCAAGTACCGGGTTGTCATTTTATATTGTTCTCGCGCACAAGGGTGCTCTCGCACTAGTATCCTGCCATCACGCAAGTTTGGTTTTCTTGCACAAGTAGACCCAGTGATCTCTCTCGTAGAACAGTCGTCCCGTAGTATCAGGTTGTCACGCACACCAGAGTTCTCGCACAACTTTCATTCCTTTGCACAATCGTGCTATGTGACATCATGGTCTCAAACTCAATTCATTTATACAATTTTGATTTCTTCCTTGGATAGGCTCAAGTAACATGGAATTCTAACTATTAGAGGATGACCGAGAAAGTGGTCTTCGATCGGTGGGTGGATAGGGTTTTGTAGTCTAGTTTCACTGTGGATGGTTGTGGCACTGTTCCACCTGTTGATTATATCTGTTATTACTTTAAATGTTTTTAATATAATAAGGAATAATCACTCAACTCCACTTAGGAAAGCAATACGTTACACGATATTTCAACGATATGTATAAATATGTGTGTATGCAAAGTATTTCAAAATCCACGCCTACGCTACTATGATTTGGCACAAGACCTAACAGTATGATATGTTTTCGCCACCAAGTACGGTAACTGTCGGGGAGAGTGCACGTGGCCTCTCACTAACACGTGATCGAAATTACAGTACTTTCATGTTTGATTTAAAATGATTGCTAGTTTGAACTGTATTTTGTCTGTAAAGGGGCATTGTACGGCACATACCGGGCCTATTATAGTGTGGACCTACGTGTACATTTTGGGTCAGCTACCATGAATAATGATAAATACTCACGCCAATCACGAGATTGGAAATCTAGATGCTTACATTTTCAATGGGCATAGAATTGGAATTAAGAAATACAATATTGCTAACGGGCTTTAGATTTATCTCGGGATATTTAGGCCTATTCGTGTAGTTATTATTTCGATTACTAGACCTATAATATTTTAATAAGAATGCAATTAAAAACAATCATAATAAGAAAAAGCATCATAAATAT